CCCCATCTGCAACACTGTACATGGCAGCAGCAGGTGGCAAGGGGGAGCTGTGCACAGTAGGGATGGTCCGGGGCCGAGGGGGATGCTCTGGAGAGGGGTGGGAGAACGCATGGTAGAGCCTGGGCCCGCTCCAGGCAGAGCTGGGGGAGAGACCCAGATCCACATATTGGTGGAGCAGGGCCCCTGGCTCTGTAACTCGCCGGCACTTCTGGGATCAGGGGCACAGGGACCAAATCGGCCTAACGCCGGCAGCCACCAGCCACGCTGAGGCCCGGTATTTTTTTCCTGCGGCCCGGTAGTTTGGGAAACGCTGCCTTAGACCTTGCAACATACCTGTGCAGTAGATACTACCCTCATTTCAGTAATGGACAAGCTATTGAAAGCCACTTTTTCCCTTAAACTGTATCTATTTAAAGCTCGTGTGCAATAAAAATCCACAAAGACTATGTGTGAAAAGAAGAAAGATATAAGAGAGGAAAGCAACTTTCAACAGGAATTATAAGTCTCTAGTCAGAAATAACAGCATTTTATTTCTATTTAAATACACTAACTAATGAAGAAATTCTGCACCACAAAATAAGTACCCGACCCGGAGACTACGCAGGAACTCACCAGGTGAGTAAAAAAAAAAATAAGTATACGCCGTGGGGAGGGAGGGGCAGAGTGATGGGGGGGTTGTAAAAATGCATATGGGTTTATATGCGCCAAAATACAGTAATTATTGTGAGCTATCAAACGCGCTAAAAATTGATAGCACTAACCAGTGTTTGAAAAGCAATGTATGAAAGATAGAGTAGATACACCCACAAGTCCTGGAGTAATAACTTGGTGAGGAGCCCAATCCCTTCTCAACGTGTGGAGAAATGGTCTCAGAATTTCTGCCATGGTGCTGTACCCAGATCCCGCTTGGGAACTTTCACATCTGTCTCTAGTTAGTAGCTGCTGGATGAATATGCAGCTCCAATAGCATCTAGTTGCTGCAAAGGAAAAGAACTGTTGTTCTCTGTCGTTCTCTGTCTCTCAATTCAGAGTTTCCAATGCTCTACACTTTTCCAGCCTCTAATTTTTTTGTTTCTTTCCCCTTTTCCCATAGTTGTAGTTCAATCCTCTCCTGAAGACAGCTTTTTTTTCTGGAAGCAGTAACAATTTGACTGACAGCATACTTGAAAATATCAGGGCTATACATGCTGTTCTAAGTAACAGAGGTAAAACTGACCAGATGTGTTAGTTTCATACTGCTACTACTGTGTAAAACTATGACTCTTGGTACTGCAGTGGTGTATCCGCATTTAGAGTACAGTGCATCCTTTTTTTAAATGAAATGTTAAATTTTGAAGAAACTGATACCTTAGGACTCCATGTTTGTTAAAAAGATTTCCACTCGTCATTGAAGAGTGGATTTTTCCAAGTTGTAGCAGATGTAACTATACCATATAAAATTTCCAGCTGTATTTTAATGAGCTTCTTGATATTACATTGATTTTGGGCTCGTCTACATTGGCCCCTTTTCCGGAAGGGGCATGGTAATTTTTGAAATCGCAATAGGGAAATGCGCGGGGGATTTAAATACCCCCCGCGGCATTTAAATAAAAATGTCCGCCGCTTTTTTCCGGCTTTTAGAAAAGCCGGAAAAGAGCGTCTACACTGGCCCCGATCCTCTGGAAAAAGCGCCCTTTTCCGGAGGATCTTATTCCTACTTCAAAGGGCGCTTTTTCCGGAGGATCGGGGCCAGTGTAGACGCTCTTTTCCAGCTTTTCTAAAAGCCAGAAAAAAGTGGCGGACATTTTTATTTAAATGCCGCGGGGGATATTTAAATCCCCCGCGCATTTCCCTATTGCGATTTCAAAAATTACCATGCCCCTTCCGGAAAAGGGGCCAATGTAGAGGTAGCCTTTGAGCTCAATCACATAATGCAACAGGAAGCTTGCAGGAATACGCATCCCTCTGCTACAATAAATCTGACATTCTCCTCTGCTCCAAACACTAGAATGATCTATGCAAGGAGTAGACAGACCATAGAAAAACTGTCAAACAGATCCCAAAATATTTTTAGTTAACTTATTCTCACTGTAGTTTTATTACTTTCTCTGGAGTGTGGACCTTGCCTATACCATGAACAAAAACTCTAAACCTTAACAACAATAAAAAAAACCTGATTATCCTGATTCATATCCTAATCCTACACACCATTACAAATGAGAGTTGTCCACCTGACTTCAGTTGGATTATTTCACTTGAAGAGACCACATATGTTTGCAGAGCCTTATAGTCTAACAATTCTAAAGCAATGTAGCTTGGGTAGGATAACAGCTGCAAATTCAAATATACACAGAAAGCTGCCACACAACAGTATCCTGGCATAACTGGATTTTATATAATACCAAAATAAAACCTAAGAAAACCAGAATGATGAAAGTGGTTTATTTAAAGGTTTTAATATTTTATCCACTTTTATTTACTGTTAAAACAAACTAAGTATTTAGTGCCAGCTATCTGTTAAACTTCTAGAGGACATGTTTATACTTAGAATAAATCTTAAGTTGTGGGCTTTGTTAATCTTTTGTTTTATTGTTTTGTTCAAAATTGAATATTTAGTACCCAGTGCTTTTTTCCATTAATCTCAAACACAATAACTATCATATACAGGCTATGCTTTTTCTTTGGTTTTAATCTCAGTAAGAGCTCAAAATCAAGCCAAGAGTGAAAAGAAAACAGGTTAATAGCATTAAAGAGGTTTTATTTAACATCCACACAACATAAAAGACCACATTAAATGACTTAATATAAAGTCCTAGAAGTAATCTTTAAAAAACACACCCAAAGCAAATATTTAAGTCTTGAGCTAGGGGGAAAAAAATCACAAACGATTTTTTTCCAAACATTAAACTCCAGCACTGAAAAAAATAGGAAGTCTTCTGCACATCTTTCATAAAAACAAGTTAATTAAAACTACCAAAACGAGTTCTCAAGTAGAACTGCCAGAATGCTGATTTACCAATACCCAAGTGGGGGTTCACTCTCTACAAGAAGCCTTCCCTGCATGTTTGTTTAATAGCTGGTCCTTTAAATTTGGGAGGACATCCAAAAGTAGCCCAGCCCTAAAGAGCTAGTTAACATCCAGTCGCACTAGTCTAGACTGTCTTCACTTCCATCATAGCTGGTGAGTAACATAAGCTTCTGCTTCCCTTTTGATTTATTTCTGAGCTGAAGATACATCCCAGGAGAGATGCACTACTCTTGTAAATTACATAAGCTTAGTTCTAGGTTCTCTCTTTTCCTAGAAAGCAACCAGCCTCAGGAAACTAAACAAGCGCATAAATATTATAAGTAAAACAGACAACTAACCCTTGCAGTGTTTTAAAATAAAACAAAAGGTTCTCCCTGCACCGCCTCCCGAGGGGGCGTGTTCTCTTAGCCCCAGTCACCGCTACATGATCGCTGGAGCTGGGGGCAATGGCTGGGCAGGAGTAGATTCGCCTTTGGCCGCTTCTCCCTACACACGTTGCACTAAGGCAGGGCAGCTGCCTGTCCCGCGCAGCCTTACAGCCGGGGGCTCCACCGGGTCTCCCGTGGAGG